GCAACCTCCGCCTCCTGGGTTCAAGCAATTCTCCAGCCTCAGCCTCCCGAGTAGCTGGGACTACAGGCATGCGCCATCATGCCCAGCTAATTTTTGTATTTTTAGTAGAGACGGGGTTTCACCTTGTTGACCAGGATGGTCTCGATCTCTTGACCTCGTGATCCACCCGCCTCGGCCTCCCAAAGTGCTGGGATTACAGGCTTGAGCCACCGCGCCCGGCCTCCCTTCTGAGTCTTTAAAGTTCATTATATCACTCTGTATGCCTTTGGGTACTCACAGCTCAGCTTTCACTTATGGTTTTTGACTTTCCACTCCCGTGATACTTCACTTAGCATAATGACCTCCAGTTCCATACAAGTTGCTGCAAAACACATTATTTCCTTTCTTTGAATGGCTGAATGGTACTATATGGTATATACACACCACATTTTATTTACCCACTCATTAGTCGATGGGTACCTAGGTTGGTTCTACATCTTTGCAATTGTAAACTGTGCTGCTATAAACATACACATGCAAGTGTCTTTTTCATACAATGACTTCTTTTCCTTTGGGTAGATACCCAGTATTGGGATGGCTGGATCAAATGGTAGATCTACTTTTAGCTATTTGAAGAATCTCCATACTGTTTTTCAGAGGTTGTACTAATTTACATTCCCACCAGTAGTGTATAAGCTTCTCTTTTCCCCACAACCACAATATCATCTACTGTTTTGTGTTTTGTTTTTTTTGAGATGGAGTCAGTCTCACTCTGTGGCCCAGGCTGGAATGCAGTAGCACAATCTCAGCTCACTGCAACCTCTACCTCCCAGTTCAAGCGATTCTCCTGCCTAAGCTTCCTGAGTAGCTGGGATTATAGGCACCCGCCACCATGTTCAGCTAATTTTTCTATTTTTAGTAGAGACAGGGTTTCACCATGTTGGCCAGGCTTGTCTTGAACTCTTGACCTCAAGTGATTGGCTTGCCTCGGCCTCCAAAAGTGCTGGGATTACAGATGTGAGCCACTGTGCCCCCACCATTTTGTTTTAATAATGACCATTCTAGCAGGAGTAAAGTGGTATCTCACTGTGGTTTTAATCTGATGATTAGTGATGTTAGGCATTTTTTTCGTATGTATGCTGACCATTTGTAGATTCCCTTCTCAGAAATGTCTATTCATGTCTTTTGCCTACTTTTTATTTTTTATTTTTTCTGAGAGTCTCACTCTGGCACCCAGGCTGAAGTGCAATGGTGCGATCTCAGCACACTACAATCTCCACTTTCTGGGTTCAAGTAAATCTCTCACCTCAGCCTCCCGAGTAACTGAGATTACAGGAACCCATCATCATGCCGAGCTAATTTTTT